AAACTCAAATGTTAAAAAAAGAACGAGTATACATTGCAACAGCTTGTTTCTCATATCCAAAGATAATGACAAGAAATAGATTTTATCAGACAATACTTCACACATCGTTGTTTTTTTCTAATCATCTAATTTTTTTTATCATATTCTAGAAAATCAACTTTGATTCTGATATTTTTCATAATAAAAAAAAAAGAAATTTTTTATTTAATTTGTCTATCGAAGGATCAATATCCATTGTAGAATCTCATATCTTCTTGATTAATGTATCAGTATCAGATGTTCTTGTTTTCTTTTTCCTGTTTTAGTTTAATTCGATTAAAAGATAAACAGATCTATTTGTACATGATTCTACTTATTGTAATATGTCAGCGATTTAATTTCTTAAAAAAAAAAAATTCTCTTTTTTGTCTTCTATTTAAAAGAAGCAACAATTAACAATAAGCTATGTAATAACAACAAATAAATAATAATAATAATAAAAAGAAAACGATGACAGTTATTTGCCTAATCAATAGCTTTTTTTTTTTTTGTGATGTCTTTTTCATTGAAATATCATTTGATTATAGTTCATTTTTATCCTGTTCTTTTCCCTCTTCTTCTTCTGTATTTTTTTCGTCTTGTTTCTCTTCAACAATGGATGATGGTGTTGGTCTTGGTTTAAAAAGTTCGTCAAGTTGATTTCCTTTACAATATTCTATATAAATAAAATAAAATATATTAATAAATACAAAAAAAAAAAAACGAGAACGAAGCCCGAAATATACTTACGATTTAATTCAACACAAAAAAGTTCTGCTAATTGTCGAGCTGTTTGTGCATTTTTATTTTGTGTTACAAGTATATCAATAATACTATCATGATGATCTTCGAGAATATCATCACACTATAACAATAAAAAAAAAAGCGTAAAATGAGATGTCATAACAAGGTCTATTCATTTATAGAATAACCTTCGAGTAAATAAATAAATAGATAGATATTATTTTAAAGGTTTCTAAGTTATTCACTATGGATTTTTGCTTTCTCTTATAACAAAAATCAATAGAAAAAAAGAAAAATTTGATATTCAAAGTGTGTGTGTTTTTTTTATATTTTAAAATTTGTTCTACTAATTCATTAAATTATCTTTGACAATATATATAGAATAAACGTAATAATCTTGTATTAGTTCATATCAGTTTGCGTGACATATTTATCTATATATCTATTTTTGTTGTCAAATAATCCATTGAAATTAAAGATAATCATTCTTTCATAAATCTTTTTATACAAGTAACTATTATTAATTTTTTTTCAGAATATAAAACAAAACAAAAAACAAAAAAAAGAAGTCAATTTCTTCTTATTTTCTTTATTATTTATGACAGATGAAAATGATTTTTCATTATATCATCATCGTTTTTTTGTTCCCTCTCTATTTTGTTTAATCGAGATCTCAGTTCGCACGCGTTTACAATCATCATTTGGACACGACCAATATTGACACATTGTCTTCATTTACTCGGGTTTTCTTTTTTTTTTTTGACGTCAATCTCATTCTTTCTGTTTTATTTGAACAAAAAAAAAAGCAAGAGAGCGAGAGAGAGAAAGAGCGACAGATATTTGTCTACTTTTAATTATATGACTACAAGCCGAGAAAGAAATGTCAACAAAGCAAGTCTCATATATATATTTTTTTTTTGATGGTGCCTACCTAATAAATATGCTCAATCGATTCAATAGAAAATGAATAAAGTCACAATTCAGGAAACGGATGTTCAATAGCAAACATATAGAATAGTGAAGACTAGAAAATAAGCTCAACTGTACTTGTTTTTGGATATAGAATTCAATGTTTTTTTTTTTTTTTTTTTTAGAAAAAGACAATGTTGGAATTTACAAATTGATTTGATTTTTTAATTTTGATAGAAATGTAATGAATGTTTATTAATATAAAGAAATTATGATATAGTGGTATATTTTATATTTAATTGAATCTGATGGAAGTGTACTAAGAAAAATATATCAAAATTTATATGATACTTGAAATGATCAGAGGCAATCATTTTTTTCAAATTGTTTTGAGTCAGAAATAAATGTAATTATCTGTTTATTTAATATACTTGATCGTCTTTATTATTGATATTGTGATATATATTTATTTATTAATTGTTTCAATTTTGATGTTTTTATTTCAATAAAATATCCTCAATTCAGTTTTTTTTTTTACTTGAAATTGAGCTATTTTATTTCTTATCAAACAGTTTACGAATACGAAAAATTAAATTGATCAAACTCAAAATAAAAAGTTAGTTTTGATGAGAAGATTCTTCACTTCAAGTCTTAACACTATAACGACTAATCTATATTATCTTGTTTCTGATCGAAATGATTGTCAAAAATAAAAACATTAAATTATTAAAAAAAAAAAAATCTTCTTACCGCATGTTCATAAAGATTTTTCAATGGACTTGGTATTACTTCTTGAGCTAAAAAACCAAAAAAAAATAAATTTAAATGTTTTTCTTTTAACAAAATCTACCATCTCTAATAAATTTTGAACAAAGATTTTCAAGAACATTTTCAGCATGATATGCTGTTTCAATAACTGGTACCTTTAATAATAAAGAGAAAAAAAAATCAAAAATAGATAGATCTAAAATTAAATAATTAATATTACATCTTTTAATTTTTGATGTCCATGACCATCAACACGATATGATCCAACTTGAACACGTTCATTTGGATCAACATTATTCATTTCACGAAATATTGTTTCACTCATAGATTTACATGCTAAAAGAAGCAAAGCAAAAAAACAAACAAACAAACATAGTTTAAATAAATTAATTGAATTCTATTTTCATACCTGAACAATAAAAATCTTGTTTTTTTCTTTTATTATTATTATCATCAGTTGATGATGCTACTTGACTTTGAACTAATTGTATAAATATAAAGAAGAGAATACATAAAATATATACAGAAGAATTCATCATCTGAAAAAGAGGACACAAAAAATTATAACTAATATATTTTCATTCTATACATGATACAATACAAAAGTAAAATTTTATTAATTTTTATTCATGCTAACAATTTTATATTGAACACCATTAATAAGTACAATAGCTCCATCAAGACTATTTGGATCAAGTTGTGTATCAGATGTAGCAGCAGCAGCATTAGTTTTATCTTCATTTGTATTTATTGTTAATATAGGTGTAGAAGAATTTTGTTTTGATTTTTCAATTGGTTTTGGTTGTATAGAAGATGTTGATATTGAATTTGAATTTGAATTTATATTTGTTTGTGATGATAAAATTTCATCAACAGCAATTCCAGTATGTTGTTTAAATAATTCTTGTAATTGTTCATATTCTTGTTTGAGAGTTCTTATATGTTGAGTTAATTCTTCATTTTCTTGTTCTAATTTATTTATTGATTCCATTGTTTCATCACGTTCACGACGAGATTTTTCACGAGATTTTTTAACACTATCATTATTTTTTGCACGTATTTGATTATAACGTGGATCTGTACGTGGAACAGAACGACGTTGCATATTCGTTTTGTTTTATCAAGTCACAATTAATGGACAATTCGAAATAGATAACAAAATGATAGATGAATGATGTCAAAAAAAAAAAAGAAAGAAACACTATATTTATTGGATTTTTTTTTATTATTTTGTATTCAAATAAAATTTACTCGTTTGAATATGGATATGTAAGTATTAATTTTTTGGATGACGACAGATCAAATTTGTATTGGTTTATTATGAAACATTTTTTATTGAGCCATTTGTACGAATAGAATTTGCTTATTTTTTTTGTGTCTTGTTATTGATAAATATGAGTTGATATTTAAAAATCATTTTAATTTCTTTTATTCAATTCATTTAATTAAATATGAATTAGATTAGTTTTTACAAAAAGAATGTTCATCATTTAGTGACATCTCTCAAATATAATACAATTTTCATCAAATTTTTGTAGCTTGAAAGTCGAAAAATCATCATCATCTGTAGGTATATGCAATAATATACGTGGTTTAGAATCATTTTCACGTTCAAAAGTATCATCTCGTAGTACATCAACTATCGGTTTTGTGAATTCTCATCAAATGGAGAACCCATCTGTTAAACGGTTAGTTTTTTTTCTTATGAAATACTTTTCTCTGTATGTTATACATACATAGACCTACGGTAAGCTTAATCTTACCTTCCTCAAAAACAGAATCATCAAACGAACAAATGGTAACAAGTGATACGGTTTTGTTATTCGATAATACAAAGAAATCTTCATCAGTTCAATTTAATAAACAGGAAAAGAAAGATTTTGCTATAAAGAAGTATGGATAACTATTATTCAATAGCAAAAGATTATATATTAAAATACTGATTTTTTTTTTGTTTTTTCTTTATAAATAGAAATCAAAATTTAGTATTAGACGAGTCTAATGATTCATGTATATGTTCGATACTACACATATTAATACGATTAATTTGTATGGCTTTATTCACTTGTATTATTGGTATGTTTATTTTTACTTTAATCTTCTATGCTTTTGATATTTATTGGCTTGAACAACCAATTATTAATAATTCATCATCGTGGTTCGATGAAAATAA